GATGATAATGGTGGTTGGTGGTTGTGATTGTGATGGTGGTGGTGATGATGGTGGTAGTGGTAGTGGTGGTGGTGGTTGTGATGGTGATAGTGGTAGTGATGTTGATGGTAGTGGAAATGGTTCTTACAAGGGGTGTCCAGAAACTCTCATCTCCCACTGGATAACAAGACCCAGGATCAGGGAGAACGGATTCCAGCTTGATAACTCTGGGCTTCCTGCAAAGTGAGGCTGTGCCCCACATAGTGAAGAAGGTAACTAAGGGCACGTCTCCTTTCCCCTGAGACCCCGACACCCAAGTCAAGAGCCCTTGGGAATGACTAGGCATAAGGAGATTGATATCCCAGAAACAGGAAGCTCTGAGTGTCACACACCCACGTGCCCCCACGCCAGAATCTCGTCCCTGACCCTGCTCTAATTTTTCCATAGACTTTGCCATCTTCTAGCAAATGTTACAGTTTACTTATTTTCTATATTTAGCTCTTATTTTCATCTGTCTCCACCTGCCTCTCCACTAGAAGATAAGCTTCAGAGGGCAGGGGTTTTGTTTTGTTCACTGCTATATTCCAAATACCTAAGAACAGTGCCTGGAATACAGTAGGTTCTCAATAAATATTTGTTGATGAGCAGCAAATGGTAAGAGGGAGGGACCCATGGCTGCTTTTGTTCCCTGGGCCCGCTCAGCTTCCTGGCTTGTTACCTGGTTTCTCCTCAAACAAACAGAGAGAGGCGGTGTGCCCAGCCTACAGGCGGTCAGAGAGGGTCAGACTGGGCCTGTGGTTGGGAAAGGGCAGAGCGCAGCCCACAGGTTGGTTCCTGACAGTGGCCATGGCCTTCAGGGGGCCTGAGCCCTGGGTCCCTGCATCCCTGCTGAGCCAGAGGCTGAAAGCTGAGGAGAAGACACTGGACCTGGAGTTTGAGATCTTGAGCGTGGGCTTCAACGAGGGGGGCAGATATGTCCTGCAACTGTCTGCTGAGAATCCCCTGCAGGTGGGCTCTGGGGCTGGGGTGCAGTTGCGAGTGAATGATGGGGATCCCTTCCCTGCCTGCTCTGCCGCCACGGATGTCATTGAGCAGCAGGATCCCGGCCAGAGCCTCACCCTCAGCAGGAACAAGTTCATCTTCACTTTGCCCAAAGGTATGAAGTAGGACTGGGGGGCGGGGGGAAAGTTACCTGGAACTCCTGCCTTAGCCCCTGCCAGGGATCCCGGGGATCCTCAGGGGAATCGAGATGGGCAGGGTCAGTGCTCCAGGTTGTAACCCAAAGCTCTGCCTGTGTGACCCTGGGCACATGCTGGCTTTTTGTGAAACCCTGTCTCCTTCAGTGTGACACAAGGCCACTGATGTTGTCACACAAGGCTGGGTAAGAAAGACACAGGGGGACAGGTGAGAAATGGCTCTGTGAATTTAAGACTGCTGAGCACACAGCAGGTTTGAGGCCAGTCCTGGGGAGTGGACATTACACTGAATAACCATAGACCCAGCCCCAAGTGTCCAACTCTGGGCACCACTTGATTGTAGACATGGGGGGTGTGGGCATAAATGAGAAGACCTGGGCCCTGCCTTCAGGAAGCTTCAAGAACAGGTGGAGAGGCAGGACTCCCAAACAGAGAACAGTTAAGTGAGCTGGAATGAGAAGAAGACCCATGTCTAGACTGTGAGGCTACCCGGGCAGGCTGCCTGGAGGAGGAAAAATGTGAGAGAATGGGGAAACCAAGTTTCAGGCTTCGAGTAGCCAGAAATCTGGGGCAGACTGAACCCTTCCCCATTCCAGGGTGGTGGGACCCAGGACCATGTCACAGGCTAACAACCCTCTCTTCCTTAACTCCTCCCCCACTGTGGGCTTGGCTTGGGCGCCTTGGGTGGGGACCTGAGAGGGCCACTCACCAGGGAAGTCTTAGCCATGCAGCTTCCACTCAGAGACAGGACAGCCCAGGCTTCCGCAGGGCCCTGGTGTCCTCCTACCCCTGGCAGAGGCGGAGAGATCCCAGAGGCTGTCTCTGAGCCCCACGTTCCCTCATCCAGGCTTCTGCAAGAACAATGGGCAGCACGATGCCCAGCTGAGGGTGGAGGCCCTGAGGCTAGATGGACCCTCAGGCCAGGTGACCCAGCGGGTGGGCGAAGCCATCTTCCCCATCTACCCGCGGCCGGACCAACCCCGCATGAACCTTGAGGCAAAGGAGCATGAGGACCTCTACCGCTACCACGGCAACCTGGCTCTGCTCCGGACCAGTGCAGACCCCACAGCCCGCCACTGCGGGGGCCTGGCCTACAGCGTGGCCTTCCATGTGCACCGGGCCCCTCGGCCTCCCGCCGCAAACAGCCCTCCTGGGGCCGGACAACCGGCGCTGACGTCACCACGCCCAGGGCCCCCGCTCCCCGGGCTGCAGGTGGGTGCTTTCCAGGTCCCGGCTCAGGTCTGATGAGCCTGGTTGCCTCCCCAGTCCCCACTGAGCAGAGTTCCCTAGGGCTGCCCTATTCCATCTGGAGAACACACCGTCTGACAATGGACACAGAGAGTGCCAGTTTGAAGGGGCAAACCCCACACAGAGCAAGGAGCCAGTTGGCTGGAATTTCTTTTGCCTGTGAGTATCCCCTGAGACCCTTCAGTCCCCAACCCCCTTTTCACACATTATCATCAAATTTTCGGGAGGCCCTGTGTAACGAGAATGCAGAAGGCTCTGCCGTGTGCCCACCCTCAAGCTCATCTAGCTCCCACCATGGCCTGGAGGGGCTCAATCCTGAATCAGGAGCCAGTAGCCTCAGGCCCAGGGGGGTCTAGTCCTTATCTTAGCTGTAGGAAGATTCCCCAACATGGCCATGTTCTACGACCAGGCAGCGTATCTAGGAGGTCTCACAGCCGGCGCAGGCAGAAGCTGGTAGAGCAGGTAGTAGTCCATTTGACAGGTGGAGAAACTGAGGCCCAAGGGATGCTTGATTCCATTTCATGTCAACAACATTTCCTGGGGACCTGAGTGCATAATAGTGCGTAGAATCCAAAGCTAGATCAGTCCTCAGGCTCAGGGTGTCCATGGGCTTGAAGATGCTGGATACAATGCCATGGTCCTGTAAGGCATCGTCGTCAGGGAGCTCTGGCGAGGGTGTGTGCACATCAGATTTTGGTGCCTAGGAATGGCTTCTTGGAGGCTGTGTCATTTGGGGCGAATCTTTCACGTTTTCTTTCACTCACTTCCTTTCCCATGTATTCATCCATCCAACACTTGTTAGGTGCCTACTCTGTCAAAGGCCACACTAGGTGGATAAGATTTAGGGACAGCCATCCCAAGCTCTGGGGAGGGTTTTCCAAGAGGAGGGACCATGACGGGCTGCCTGAGGGGAAGGGAAGTGTTACTGGCAGGAGGACAGACTGAGGTGGGAGGCAGAAGCTACAATCTGTGGCCCACTGGCCTCTCTTCCCACAGTGTGCCAGGCTGAAGAGACCCTGTGGTGGACAGAATGGGGGGGCATGGGGGGGAGCTGGGATACAGTGGTGAGAGAATGGGCGTGAATGTTCAGGAGGTGATGGGGAACCACTGGCCACCGGAAGGCTTGTGCGGGGAAGGATGGGAGCTGGGGTTTAGGCCGAGTGCTCTGGCAACATGTGCCAGAGACCTAGAAGTACAACCAGGGACCCAGGGACCAGTTTCTCTTGCCCAGTCACTCTGGCCTAGGTTCACTGTGGCCTCCCTCCCTCCCTCCATCAGTCAACACATACGTTGTGGTTTTGTTGTTTGTTTGTTTGAGTCAGAGTCTTACTCTGTTGCCTAGGCTGGAATGCAGTGGCATAAACATGGCTTACAACAGCCTCAACCTCTTGGGCTCAGGAGATCCTTCAGCCTCAGCCTCCCAAGTAACTGGGACTACAGGTGCATGCCACCACTCCCGGCTATTTTTCTTTTTCTTTTTTTGTAGAGATGAGATCTCACTATGTTGTCAGGCTGGTCTCAGATTCCCGGGCTCAAACAATCCTCTTGCCTCAGCCTCCAAAGTGCTGGGATTACAGGCATGAACCGACCTGGCAATGCATACATTTGACCGCTTTCTGCATGCCCAGCTCAGTGCTGGGAGCTGAGCTTGCAAAATAAGATAGATATCACAGGAGTCCCAGGTGACCTTCTGGTCCCTCTGACTGCAAGCTCTCTGACTTCAGAGCCTGGACCCTGGCCCATGTGCCCCATGGTTTACCACAGGACTAGGCAGGTTTGAGGCTCAGAGCTGGGGAGGAGCTGTTCTCTGCCCCCAGGCACCAGCATGCCCTTGCCACCCTGGGCCATCCGCCACATGGAGGGACGGTGCCCTTGAGGCTGCAGTTCTGAATGTGTGAGGCAGGGGAGGGGGGGTTGCTGCGGGGAAGGGGGCTGGCGAGATGGCCCGGTCGTCCTCTGCAGCTCTAATTTCTGTCATTTAAAGCCATCATCTCCCCACCACGCTCCCTCTTAAAGTGTCAGATGTCTGCTTCCACCACGACAAGAAAATGGCTTTCAAGGGAGAGGAAAGTCTTTTCCCTCCAGGGGGGTGAGAAGCATGCGGGATCAGACAATGGAGACATGTCCTTCAGAGAATGGGAAACTGTTTCAGCTCAGGGAGCCGAGGCAGAGCTCAGTCCAAGGAAGGCAGGCATCTTTCTGGAGCTGCCACGTGGAGGCTCAAAGACACAGCTGGAATGATAGTGGCAAGGCTGGGCTCTCAGCAAGCAATGTCCAGTTCAAGGCCGGAAATGGATTTCTGGGCTCCAGATGCAAAATGTCTAAGCTCAAGGCCACTTCCTCCAGGAAGCCTTCCCAACGTTGATTGCATCTCTTCCAAGTTATTCCCAGTCTTGTCTGCATCAGGTATTTCAACAATGGAATCTATCCCATTCAGAATGTTATTGCGGGCTTGCTGGCTGTTCTCCAGTTTGTATAGTGCGTGTGTTATTTTTTTTAAAAACCAGAACTGATATTGGTCATGGGATGGGGGGCAGAGGAGAAGGGGGTGGAGGGCTTGGAGACAAGGGATGCCTCCGGAATCCAGAAGAATGAGGAGAGAGCAGGAGGCAGCGCTCTGTATGAACTTCCAGGACTGACTGATTCTGAATCACTTTGCTTCTCAGCCATGGCCCGTGGGTTACACAGTCCTAAATGGCCACACCAATGTTAGTCACAGCATCTGCTGAGTCCTGGAGACTTGGGGGCTGGACAGTTCATTCCCCCAAGCTAATCATAGTATGAACAGTGAACACCTTCCCTTTTCTTTTCTTTTCTCTTTTTTTTTGAGTTGGAGTCTCACTCTGTCACCCAGACTGGAATGCAGTGGCCGCTCCTGGCCACCGCAGCCTCGACCTGCTGGGCTCCGGCGATCCTTCTGCCTCAGCCTTCCAAGTGTGTGGAACTACAGGTGTGCGCTACCACGCCGGCTCATTTTTGATTTATTGTAGAAATGAGGTCTCGCCAAGTTGCCCAGGCGGGTCTCGAACTCGCGGGCTCAGGCAATCCACTCACCTCAGCATCCCAAAGGGGCAGGATTACAGGCTGAGCCACCGAGATGGCTCACCTTCCCTTTTCTAATCCTCCAGTTTCCTCCTCTGAGTGTGGAAGGGAAGGAGGCTTGAGAGAATGGAAGGGACTGCCCTCTATGAATACTTCGAGCTCGCACAGTCACAGACTCCAGGATAGACGCCATGATTGGAGGCACTGGGAACATGCGGACAGGGCTGCAGAGGGCACTGACCCACAGGGGAGGGTCCCCAGCCCAGGATCTACCAGCCACAGGTAGCCCCTCCCAGAAGCACAGGTAGAGTTCCATCAGAGGCATCTCACCCCAAGTTGCCTCCTGTCGCCTCTTGGCGGGTTTGAGACCATATGGCCACACCACCCTTACTCCCAGAGCTCCTCCTTCTCCAGGGAGAGGGAGAATGTGTCAGACCAGAATGAGGGTGGCCTGTCTGGTGCTGGGCAGAGTGGGTCCCTGAGGGTGAGGACAGGAAGGTGCGGCCCAAAACCTGGCAGAGAAGCTATGGGAGCCAACTTGCTGGACTGTTTTAGGGGAAGGTGGTGCCTCTTGGAGGGACCGGGAGGGCAGGGGAGGCCACAATGGCTTTGGGCGTGGAGACCCTACTGGTGCCTCCCTCCCTTCTCCGAGAGATCCCTGAAGGTTGAAGGACCACCTCCCACAGGCAGATCTGTTTGAGAGGGAAACTTTGCACTGGAAATTCCCAGGGATGCAATTTCTGGAAATGCTCATTTAAAGACGTCTTGTGTGTTACCCTGGAGCTGGGGGCTCCCTCACCAGAGGTCCAGAGCTCACTGCTCCCACACAGCCAAGCGCTGAGTTATGGGGTGGGGGACGCCCCCCACCCTAGCATTTACCTCTATGAAACAATAGGCAGTTTTGTTTCATAGAAATGATTTCGATTCCCAGGAGCTTTTTAAATGACGCTTTCAAGGTTTTTTTTTTATTCTTTCCATTTAAAACACCTTTTTTTTTTTTTGCCCTGGAGGAGAAAGAAAGAGAAGGAAAAGCTAATAAAGCAATCACCAACTGCTGAGCACCTGGCTCTAAGCCTGTGGTTTCTGATGGCAGACTTGGCACCACAGGCTGGGGGCTTTCTGGAAGGGGAAGAGGAGGGGAGAGAGAGTGGCCACCTAGCCATGGATAGCGGCCTGCCCAGCATCCCCGCTGCCCTCTGTCCCTAAACCTGTATCGGCCCCGCCCAGGCTCCCCCAGCCCCAGGTCTATCCCCCTGCCTCCAGGCTCAATCGCTAGATCCGGCTCTGCTCCTCCTTGACCTGCTTTTAAATTCATTACGCCTTTTACTGCTCTCCTATTTCTATTGCCCTGGAGACCAGAATGCTCCAAGCGGGAGAGGCACACAACGTGGATTTCATTAACTTTACTCTTTACTGCCCGTTTAATCTCAAAGGGGCATTGCGAGGCGGGGGTGGCCTGTCTGGGGGAGCGGGTCCCTTTCTCTTCATGCCCTTTCGCTCTGTGCCAGGCCTTGAGGGGGCCGGCTTCCCTTGTCTGGTGAAGGCTTGCCTTCTGCCACTGCCTGCACTCTCCTGGGCGAAGGGAATGCCACGGGCCCATTTCACAGGTGAGGAGGCAGAGGCTCCAGAAGGGGGTGCTTAGGCTGCTACTCTCAAAGTGGTGGGAGCTGGGGAAGGTGAGGGCAGGCTGAAGCAGGACTGCCAGCACCTCCCAGGCTGGTATTCCTGTCCCTGGGCACCAGGACACCCGGGCCGCCCCTCCTCCTTCTCCTTTCTTTCTAATGCAGAGAACTGGACGCCAGTCAGTTCCTCCTTGCAAATGAGGCAGTTTTATGGGCTTTAGAAAAACACTCCAATTGTTCCCTCAATTACCCTGGAGCAGATTGAATATAT